ATCTTCAAAATGGTTTGAGAATCATTTCAATCCAATCATTGTAGCTCAATTATAGCTGAAATATGAAAATGTGTCAAAGCTGTCAACTTTCCTTTTCATCCAAATGAAGTACATTTCCAACTCCTATACAAATTATGGACAAAATCCAAGTAAAAGTGACAAAAATCTCATTTAATCACCTGAGAGAATTTTAAACTAATTATAGTCAAAATAATCCATTTTCTTCCTACAGTATTTCCAAAGTGACTAAAAATAACATAAAATATCATTCAAATATAGCGTAAATTAGTCACTTGTCACATTTGCAAAGAAATAATTGGCTAATCCCCAGATTTAACTTTCATCAAACATCATCATCATCATCATCGACTTTCTGTCCATTTTTTGCTTGTAAACTTCTTTGTTCATTTTCTCTGTAGGTCCACCAAAGCACGATTTAGGTCGTTCTTAATTTAATTCAAAAGTTGAATACAAAATCAAGCATGTTCTCAATTTAATTGAAAAGTTGAATACAAAACCAAGCACGTAAAGTGTGACAAAAATACACCACAAGACTAAGTCATGAACATTTGCTAATCAAATTCGTTGACACAACTCGGCTCTCTCTGCAGTCAGCACCCCACTGCTAGAAAGTCAACTAATGCTTTAGTCTGGGTTTTTGAATATTGGGCCTTGCGACTTTCCGGTCTCTCATGGGTGCCGTGGGAAAACCGTAATGGAGTCAACTTTGATACATCAACTGAAACAGTTAACAAAAATTCACTCGATATAAACTTTTGGTTCTGCAAAATTTTACATTTAACAAAGGGGAAGGAGCTAATCAAGAACAGATATGCAAGGGTTGGAGATGGAGAAAAGGCTTCTTGATGCTGCCTTAGAAGGCGATGAAAAGACTCTACATGAGTTGCTTCAAGAAGACAAACTGGTGCTTCATAGAGTTTCTCTTTCTTTTTCCAGTTTCAATCCTATACAAATAGCTATAATTCGAGGGCACCAAAAATTTGTTGAAGCAATTTTGGATCATAATCCTGAGCTATTGGGGAACGTAGAAGATTCAGGTCAAAAATGGTCGTCCCTTCACTTGGCATCAGCTAGAGGTCATTTGAGAATTGTTGAAGCATTGGTTAATGCTAATCCTGACATGTGTTTCGATTGTGATCAAGATGGAAGGAACCCTCTTCATGTTGCTGCCATGAAAGGCAAAATTGGAGTGTTGGAAGTGTTGATTCATGCGAGGCCTTTTGCTGCTCGGGAAAAGACTAAACGTGGGGAGACCATCTTGCATTTGTGTGTGAAGTATCATCAGTTCGAAGCACTGAAGAAGGTGGTGGAGGCCGTGGATGATGATGAATTCTTGAATCAAAAAGATGGTGAAGGCCTTACTAAATTGCATTTGGCTGTTATTGGCAAGCAAATTGAGGTACGACAATGTTAGGTGACATAGGTGCCTGCGAATTAGATTATACTAGTGTAAATACCCATGCTACGCACGGTGCTGATATTATTGAACAAAATGAAAATAAAATGGTGAATAAAAAAAAGTTAAAAAATTGTACCAACACAATTAAAATATAATATCTGTCTAATAATAGTTTGAAATATGATAGAATGTGTATATCATTCAAGAACTGCCTTTTTTCGGAAGATAGATTCTAAAAAAATAATAGAAATTTATATTAGAAAATGAATGATATATGAATAAAAATGAATGTAATTAGATGTTGTTAAAATGAAATACTTACAAATATTATGCATTCGATTTAATAATCTTGCATGAAGGTGTGAACACTCTTCACACCAATCAACTTTTAGGACGAAAGCCAAAATTGGTGATTTAATTAATTCTGTTGAATTTTATGGAGTGCGTACTACAAATGAAAATGCACGATCTTTGCATGAATTGATTTGTTGGTTGAACAACCTATCACCATTTTCTTGAGATTAAGTACGTACGAAATTCAAAAATAGTGTATTTTTTTACACAGTTTATAAATAGCATTATAAAAAATAAATATATATAAAGAAATTCTACATTCCTTTGTAATTCTCTGAGATAAGAAACATTACAACCAAATAGGAATCGTGCATGTCTGTCTTGTAGATTAAGATGCATGTTACCACTGGAATCTCTGATTTGTATTTCATAACAATGCAGCTTTTTATGTTTCACTTTGCACCCTTCCATCTATGCTTATATTTTCACTTTAAGTTTTAAACTTTAAAATGTAACACTTTATTTCCTAAATATAAAATTTGTCCCAATGAAGTAAAATAGTTGATAGAAGTTGAACAAATTTCATATTTAAATAGAACATAATTTATACTTTAGAGATTAATGTGAGATGGGTTTTATATTTTTAGAGACAAAAATTGATATAAGTTTCATACTTTAAGAATTAAAATATTTTGCAATATTGCAATTAAAAAAAACTTAACAATTTTGCAAGGAATATTTATCTTACCATAGTATCATAATCATAAAAATATTATTCTAAATTGGTTTCACACAATTAGTCTTACAATACCCAAATACGCAACGGATCTTCTGTCCCACATCCTGTGTCACTTTCTGTCCCACTTTTTATTATATTGCTATTTCTCCTACATAAACATCACGTTTTAGTTCTTTTTTGTTTCCTTAAGATCCAATAACTATTAATTGAGTAAAAAATAAATATACTAGCTTCAAAAAAGCAATATATAATAGAAAATTAAAAAATACAGCAGAAAATTAATAAAAAATCTCATTTTTTATGCATTTTGGTTTTTTGAGTTTGTTAAATTTTGTGTAGTACTCAATTAATAGTTATTGGATTTTAAGGAAACAAAAAAGAACTAAAACGTGATGTTTATGTAGGAGAAATAGCAATATAATAAAAAATGGTACAGAGAGTAGCACAGGATGTGAGATAGAAGATCCATTGCGACCCACATACTTGTCCCCATTCAACTTGAGACCCTTTTACTTTAAGCATTTCAATTAAATATACCTTTTACCATATTGTCCTCATTCTATTGGGGTCTCATAATAGAATTACACAATTAGCTTGTAGGATCCGAGGTCACACTAGTCCATTTCAATCCACTTAAGGGTAAAATGATCATTTTAAATTTTTTTTTTTACACCCTAGTTCAAATAGTTTAGACCGTAAAGGCTAACCAGTTTGAAAATGGAACTTGTGAAGTTCATCCTCTTAGCTTGTATAGCAGAATCTTTAATTGGGGCAAGCATCTCTTGATAGTAGCATGTTTCTAATGCTGATCATGCTTTTGCCACAGATCATCAAATATTTGCTTACAACCAAAATAGATATCAACTCTAAGAATGCAAAAGGGCACACAGCATTGAATGTGGTTCCACAGAATCCCAACGATAGCCAAAAAGAGATTGAAAACTCTCTTCGACAAGCAGGGGCATTAATGGCTGATGATCACAAATCAGCAATCAAATTTTGATCAAAGAAAATGGATGGAACAGAAAAGCAAAGCGCTAATGGTAGTGGCATCGCTTATTGCAAATATGGCTTTCCAAGCTGGCATAAACCCCGCGGGAGGAGTTTGGCAAGATGATCAAACAGAACAATCGCAAGGAAATCCTTCGCTAAATAATCCACATAAAGCAGGAGAATCCATCATGGCTTATGACGACATTCAGATTTATCGATATTTCATTACTCAAAACACCATCGCAATTGTTTCATCTCTGGGCACAATCTCGCTGCTTATCAGTGGGCTTCCCTTCAGGCGCAAGGTCTTCATGTGGATCTTGAATGGGGTTATGTGGTTAACTGCAAGTTCAATTATATACAGTTATGGATTATCAATAGGTTTTGTCACACCAGATCGTGAGGTTAAAAAAGAAAGGCCTTATGCTGTTGCAGTTGTTGCCTGGAGTTTTGTGATAACAATCTTTCTTCTGGGAATAAGTGGAGTTACAAAAAAGTGGTGGAATCTCTGCGGAAGAATAAAATGGAGACCGAGAAATAGTGTGAGTGGAGTGGTTGAAAACCAATGTTTTCAAACCCGGACCGTCAATCGAACCGGTGAGGTGAAAATGTCGAGATTCAACCGATCGGACTGGTTCAACCGGGGTTCAATAAATAAATAAATAAATATATATATATATATAGACAGACACACCTATGCATAGAATAAGATATAAATGCTGAACCACAATAAATATAAGAGCAATATCCAACAATTAACACACACAATTAACATAGTTATGAAACTTACATGTCCAATTGTCTAAATATTAAAATTAACAAAAAACAATACAGGTCTAGAAAACAATCAAAAGGTCCAAACGAGTCCAATTTTTGAAGCTTCTATAATCTTCTTCATAATTCTGGGACAACAAAGCTTCAAAAAAAGCCATCTTGACGAGTCATCATCATCATCCAAGACCATTATATGAATCACTGACAAGTGATAAAAGTATAAAATCATATTAGTTTCATTACACCAACTGATACAAATCTTAAAAATAAAAATAAAATAGTACAAATAATTCTATACCAATTACCATTTGAATATTTAATGCCAATCATCATCTTCATCATTAAAAAAGTTTCGACGCTGAAATGTTTCTAAATCAACATCTTCTGCTTCATCTTCATCATCTAAAAAATCAGCATATTTAATTATATATATATATTCAACAATTGAATATCATATCATACTAGCATTATTTTTGCATCAAACTAATGATTTATGTCAGACTAACCTTCAAGTTGTTCAGAATTTGAACATTGACCATGAATTGGAGGTTCTTCAAGCTCTTCCTCTAACTCCTCATAATCAAGCTCCCCTTCTTGTTCTTCTTCAACCACCCAAAATTTTGTTTTATCAATTGACTCATAATCAACGAGGTCATACGATCTCTTTTGCTGATTATGCCTACAACATATATATATGTGTATATATACAACATATACACTTAGTTAGTACTAAAATATTTTCTTAAAAATAATGAAATGTCATTTATAAAAATAAACCATTTACATATACCTATACTGCAAACGCAAATTGTAATGCACATATACAAGATCATTGAGCTTTTGATGCTCCAACCTATTCCTTTTCTTAGTATGAATACGTTCAAAAACACTCCAATTACGCTCACATCCTGAGGAAGAAGCTGTTTGACTCAAAACCCGAATTGCAAGTTTTTGTAAGTTGGGAGCATCACAACCAAAGAGTTTCCACCAATTCTCTGTCATATTCAAAATTTAAATATAAACAAAATATTTATAAATTAGATATATATATTAGAAAGATTTAAATGCTAGAAAAATATAAATTACCTGGTCTATCTTTCTTGCTAGTAAGAATAGCAAGTTTTCTGCCAAAACTTCCCTCCCGCTCTCGATACATTCCAATTTCTTTTGTTAAATTTTCCTCACTGCACCAATCCACCTTTGATTCTATGTAATCCAACAAACCATTTGTAATTTCTGGATGTGTAGAGAATGTGGCAGTGTCATATTGAAAAGCGGGATTTAAAAAATATGCCGTAGCATGCAAATTTTTCCTCAACATCCTATCCCATCGGTCATTGATGATATCAATGTAAGGCTTATATAGCCTTTCACTATTCCTGAACAACTTCTTGATTCCAGTAATTGCTCTAAACATACCTTCATACACATACCCCAAAGAAGGCCTTTCATCAGTGTCACAAACTCTCAACAACCGAATATAGGATCCATTATTCTCACTGTAATCAAACAATTATTCCAAAATCTATCATCGAAAACAATTTGTTTGACCTCTTTTCCTTTGTTGATTTTCAAGAACTTTTTGTAATCTCCACTAGTGACTAAAGCTTGTAAGCTGTCTTTGTGATCATGTAAGCTCTTTAGTGCAATAAAAGTGGTGGCAAATCGTGTTTCCCCCGGACGAATAATCTCCTTCCACCCATTAGTTTTTCTCAACCAATTCAGAACATATTTATGATTATACACAAAAACAGTTACTGTAGAAGCAAGAGACACTAGAGATTTAACAGTACCCATTTCACCAATATCCTTCAAAATCAAATTGATACAATGGGCAGCACATGGAGACTAGCAAATAGTTGGATATCTTTCATTTAATAAAGTTCCAGCAGCGTTATAATTGCTAGCATTATCAGTGACTAAATGCACCACATTTTTGGAACCAACCATTTCAACAATTTCAACAAACAGATTGCACAAATTTTCTGCATTTGTCACAATGTCCGATGCATCTATAGACTTAATAAAAGATATACCCTTAGGACAATAAACCAGAAAATTAATCAATGGTCTTTGTCTACTATCTTTCCATCCATCACCCATTATAATGCATCCAGTTTCAGCCCAAGTATTTCGAAATGAATCAACAACTAACTGCATATCTTTCTTAGCATCACGCAACAAAGTGACTCGCAAAGAATGATAAGATGGAGCTTTATAACCATGACCCATTGATGCTATTTGATCGATAGCTTTTTGAAAAAATGGAGAATTAACAGCATTAATGGGAATACATGCATCATAGAACCAAAGAGCAATGGCCATATCAGTATTTTGCCATTTATCCTTACTTTGCAAACAAGCTTTGATAGTAGGTTGAGAACTATCACGTCCACCCTTAAAGAAAGCACGAATACCTGTAGGAGCAGTGGTTTTTCTCTTTCCTTTACCTAATGATGTACCAGCCTCATTCATTGAAATATCCCTTACTCGAGGAGGTGGAACCTCTTGCACTTCATCACCAACAAATTCGTGCACTGGTTGACCAAAAGGATTTTCGACCCCAAAATCTCCTCTTTTTTCTTTAGATTTTTTATCATTCTCTTGCAAAGATGTTAATATTGCAAGCCTCACTGCTGGATCAACATGTGCACATGAAGTAATACTGCCCGTTACTCCTGCTAAGTGTTGCTTCATTCGGTGGATGCCACCCCCATGAAATACTTTAAAACAATAAGTGCATGTCATGGTTTTTCTTCCTTGTGCATTTCTGCCCTCAGAAACATATCCCCATGCTATATCCATCTTTTTGCCTATGACCTTGGGGTTGACTTGCAGATTCCTCACTATTGAGTGCTCCCCCCGGTGAACATTGTGAGTTACTACCGCTACCGGCGTCCATCCTAAAATGAGATATTTAAAAATAATTAGTCTTAAACAAATAATTAATACACATGAACCTGGTATACACCTTAGCAAAAGATAATCCTAGTCTTGTAATAATTGCCAAAACTAAAATATACACCTAGTGATGCATGATGCTTAAGACTATTTGTATTTGGGAACTGAAACTGTCACCAAAAGATCTAAAGGGGTTAATGGAGACAATGAAACAACCATTTAGCACGAGTGAAGTTATTTCCCTTAGCCTTGTGCATTTCTTGAGGGTGTTAAGTATCTTCACGATAACTGGATTTTGCACAGAGATTTAAAGACATCAAATATACTTTTAAATAATTGTGGTGAGTTAAAGATCCGTGACTTTGGATTAGTCAATATGGAAGCCCTTTGAAACCATATACTAACTTGGTGGTTACTTTGTGGTACAGGTGAGAGTAGTTTTATGCATTATTGTCTTTTTTAGTTGAGATAATTAAAATCTTTTATTTGGCTCAGCGAAGCAGCCACTATTCAATGGGAAAACAGAAGTTGATCAACTTGACAAGGTTAACATTTTGACAACTTTCATCTGTCATGTTACTGTAGATTTTTGTATGGATTTCAAGCTAATTTTCTCCTCTGTGGCTTTAAAGATCATTGTCGTTTTGTTTTGCAGATATTCAAAATTTTTGGTACGCCTAATGACACAATCTGGTCTGGCTTTCTGGCCTTCGTTGGTGACAGTTTCAGTTCCCAAATAAATGATGCTTAAGACTATTAGTAAAATCATGTTTCGCATGCACATTTCATTACCGAATATCAGTACCGTAAACCATTCATATTGAAAGAAGAAGATAGAAGCGCAGCAGGCGTGTGAAGTAAAATACCTGAGACAAAGTTGGTTTCGAGAAAAGCTGATGAAGATGGTGTGAACGAGATGGGATTGTCGGGACGTGGCTTCAAGAAACAAATGAACAGAAAAGCAGGGCTACGGATGCAGAGAAAAGGGGATTAGGCACAGTGATCCGAGGATTAGGCTGCAAAATTACAGCAGTATATATATAGAGGGCCGAGAGGATGGGAGGGATCGTAACCAAAACCCAGTAATCAACAACGAAAGGAAAAAAAAAGGGAAAAAAGATAAACGAACCTGGTATAAGCTTGAATTCCAGAGTTTTTTTGGCATGGAATCGCAGCAGCAGGCGGGAAAACTTCAAGCTTCGGACCTCGGTGCTTCCTTTTTGCTGATTGCTATGGATCAAATTGGAGTTTGGAGAAGGAAATAGAAACGGCAGGCAAGGCAATTTTCGGCAATTGCAGAGAGAGCCAGAGAGGAACCCAGGACGACCGAAGCGAAGTGCGAACTGCGGCGAAGAGGAAGACTGAAGTGAAGTGAAGATTAGGGTCTGGTCAAAATTGAAAATTTTGTCAATTTTGACTCAAAAATTGGTAAACCGCGATTCACGGTCCGATCCGGTTTTGAAGGTTTGAACGGTTTTTTACGAGTTTGACCGGTTTTTTATCCAAGTCAACATAAGCTATGGATCGGACCGGGCACCTGGCCGGTTCGCGGTCGGACCGGGCACCTGGCCGGTTCGCGGTCGAACCGGCCGGTCCAGTCCGGGTTTGAAAACATTGTTGAAAACCACAGAAATAGTAGTAATCGAGTAGAGCTTCAAATATAAGTTTTCTTAAGGACTTAACTCCACTTTCCACCCCCAAACTTGTACTACTTTTTTACTTTGCACCTGAAATATTAATTTTAGACAATTTGCATCCCAAGCTATAAAGTTTGGCTCATTTAAGTCTAATCAATGGCAATATTAGCAAAATTAAGAAATAAAAGACCATATAAACCTAGGATAATATCTAAAAAGTGGTCAAAATGAGTCAAGAGATGACAATTAGAATAAAATGAAACATTATCATTAATTTACACATTCTTTATCTAATTAATTTTGCTAAACCATACAAATCAATGGTAATGTACTGAAAGTGGTCAAAAAAAATTAGAAGATCATAGTTAGAATAAAATGATAAATTGTCATTAATTTGCATTGTCCTTTATCTTGCTAATTATTTTGTTAACATTATCATTGATTGGATTTAAATGGGACAAATTTGTGAGTTGAGGTTCATAGAGAGTAAAGAAAATTTAGAAGAAAAATGAGTAGGAAAAGAAAAAAATATATAAAATCTATACCTAAATTTTAGTTATCAGACACTCTATGGGTTTTAACAGAAACCCATTTCTGTTAACTAATTAATGATAATGATTGATGAACATTTATCAAATGGTTCATAAATATCTTGAGAATCTCGCTACAAATATTTATATTGTAACGTTCTTGTGATTATTTACATAGTTAGTGCTATGTATAATTTTTTGCTCTATCATATCAATTCCTCTTAAATACAGCATATGTACATTATTTGAGTTGGAGTTAAATGGAAAACTTGCCGTTAACTAAATTTTAAACATTTTGACGGGAATTTTAACATAAATTCAAGTTTAAATTCAATTTATACCCGTTTTGACTGCAAGTATATAGGTCAACTAGTAATTTAAGGCATATATCGGGTTGATCCTACGAGAAAGATTGGACAATTACTGGTACTACTAAAACTTCTCTATTATTTAGACGAACAATGAATTAAAAGAGATAAAACTATGCTAAACTTATGCAAGAAAATAGTAAATAAAAGTTCTTTAGGTTATGGTATTCCTAACTACTCATGCAAGTGCTATTTTTAGATCATTGAGTACTACTATCTTGGCTAGTTATGGCGTAATTTCCTTATGTATGTGAAACCTACTTTCGTAGTGAATCAACTATACTTATAACTAATCCATACCTACTCTCGTGATTATGAAATTAGTTACGAGTTCATTTCTTCTATGAAATTACATGAAATGAATCACTAAAGTCTCATAGGTGCACCTCTACTCTCGTAAGTGTACTCTCTAGGTTTAGCGCTTCTTGAACTAGTGTTACATCTCAATTTTCATTGAAGAACCAACACCTTTAAATAATCACAATTAATGGTACCAAGTTAATCATGATTTAAAGAGCTAAAGTGCTAAATAACTTGTTCAAAATAATAGCATCAAATAGCCAAATAATAAACACTAACAATCATAGAAAGTTCAACCAAATCCAAGGCATAAACTTTTAAAGACACATAATAAACATAAAATCCAAAACTTGTATATTAACTAAACTTAGAATCCAATACAAAAGATAAAGAATTGGAAAGGTAAAGTAACCCTTGTCACATGAGCTCTTTCCTTGCCTTCTTCATCTTTGCCTAGCTAATAAACAACAAGGATGAACTATTAGTTAAACTATCCTATACTAAACTAACCTAACACTAAGAAAATGTAAGAACTACATTTTTATGGTATTTCTTGAACTCTCCAAGCTCTCTTAAATCTTGCAAGTCCATGACTATTTATAGATGGTTTAGTCAAGAAATGAGGCTTCAAACATCATTTTTACAGCTGCAAAGTTGTTGTCACACGTCCATCAATAGCTGTGAATTATTGAAGGATGAAACAAGTTGTGCAAGTGGAAAGCAGCCATTTCTGACCAGAATCCGGCCACAAATCCTGTCGGATTGTCGGCCGGATTGCTCCTCTGCCATTCTTAGCAATTTCTATTCAATCTTCAAGGCATTCCAATTTTTCATCAACTTCAACTAAACTTTTCTTGATGATAGAAGTTGAATTAACTCTTGACCAAAACATAAAACTTGTAGCCCTTTGAGTTAGCTTTCCAATGCATTAAGAATTACCTCATTTAGATTTGTGTAAGTTGAGAAATGACTGAAATACCCTTGACTGCTCACTGCCTTGTCTCAGCTTCGACCATAGAAAATTAGCTACTATAATTCGGCTTTTTGACCTCAAAAACCTTCAAACTAGATTTTGATGTCTTCACATAAATTGTAGATCTATCTCTTATCTTCAAAATGGTTTGAGAATCATTTCAATCCAATCATTGTAGCTCAATTATAGCTGAAATATGAAAATGTGTCAAAGCTGTCAACTTTCCTTTTCATCCAAATGAAGTACATTTCCAACTCCTATACAAATTATGGACAAAATCCAAGTAAAAGTGACAAAAATCTCATTTAATCACCTGAGAGAATTTTAAACTAATTATAGTCAAAATAATCCATTTTCTTCCTACAGTATTTCCAAAGTGACTAAAAATAACATAAAATATCATTCAAATATAGCGTAAATTAGTCACTTGTCACATTTGCAAAGAAATAATTGGCTAATCCCCAGATTTAACTTTCATCAAACATCATCATCATCATCATCGACTTTCTGTCCATTTTTTGCTTGTAAACTTCTTTGTTCATTTTCTCTGTAGGTCCACCAAAGCACGATTTAGGTCGTTCTTAATTTAATTCAAAAGTTGAATACAAAATCAAGCATGTTCTCAATTTAATTGAAAAGTTGAATACAAAACCAAGCACGTAAAGTGTGACAAAAATACACCACAAGACTAAGTCATGAACATTTGCTAATCAAATTCGTTGACACAACTCGGCTCTCTCTGCAGTCAGCACCCCACTGCTAGAAAGTCAACTAATGCTTTAGTCTGGGTTTTTGAATATTGGGCCTTGCGACTTTCCGGTCTCTCATGGGTGCCGTGGGAAAACCGTAATGGAGTCAACTTTGATACATCAACTGAAACAGTTAACAAAAATTCACTCGATATAAACTTTTGGTTCTGCAAAATTTTACATTTAACAAAGGGGAAGGAGCTAATCAAGAACAGATATGCAAGGGTTGGAGATGGAGAAAAGGCTTCTTGATGCTGCCTTAGAAGGCGATGAAAAGACTCTACATGAGTTGCTTCAAGAAGACAAACTGGTGCTTCATAGAGTTTCTCTTTCTTTTTCCAGTTTCA